ACTTGCATAGGGGCACTTGTGCAAAGAAATTGCACAGGGACCTTGCGTGGAGAAACTTGCGCGGAAGCTTGCATGGGGAAACTCGTGCAGAGAAACTTGCGCAGACAAAATTTTTTCAGAACCACTTGAGAAGAGAACCTTGCGAAGAGAGCAACTTGCGCAGAGAACGTGCGCAGAAAGCCTTGCGCAAAAAGCTGTGCGCGGGGCTCATTCCCGCAGCTCTTGCGGCGCGCGCGTTTTCCCCGATTTTCTGGCTCTTGCCCTGCGCCGGCAGGCGTTGATGGACTTCTTCAGCTGATGCCGCAGGAAAAAGCGTTGGAGCGGCTAGGACAGCTAGGGCGGTTAGGTAGCAAGAAGGATTGGGAAGGCTTTGGTGTTTTGTTTTGTGTATTTGGTTCTGTGGAGCTTTGCTGCGGTGCATGTTCTATGGCCAATGCAGCGTCCATGAATCAGCTTGCGCATGCAAAGCGGCTTTCTGTGACGGAACAAGGTGTTGGTTTTGAACCGCATAAGTGATGCCAAAAAACCATATGCCACCCTCAATGTTGATCATTTTGCCCGGGGCCAGCTGGTGAAATTGGGTGTGAAACAGTGATCCGCCTGGTGAGTGGAGGACAGACAATAGTTCATACATTCTCACATGATACGCTATGCAAATCGCGTGCTTCTCGAGTGAATGTCGTGTCAATGCCAAATTCCCTCACAGCAACATGCTGGGCAAATTCAGCTGGGGCACAACCAACTCTTTCCGCGATGTGTGTTTAATCTGTTCGTTCAAGATTCTTAGCAAGGACAAACTTCTCACCCGAACTATGCACGGCGCCACTGGTTTCCTTGATTGCCTTGTCGTTGTTTTGGACCGTTGGTGTTGTGCTGGGGCAATCGAAGCAGTAAGGGCTGTTGTCAGTTGCTTTCCGTATTGTTGCACGCTCCCACCACCAGCGGCCGAAACTGACGCAGCACTTTCTTCGCTTGTCACTACATGCTGGGGTAACTTTCCACTACCGTAACTGACGCAGGACTTTCTTTGCTTGTCATCACATGCTGGGGGAACTTTCCACCGCTGTAACTGACGCAGGACTTTCTTCGCTTGTCATTACACGCTGGGGGGAACTTTCCACCGCTGCACTTCGCGTGTCAGTACATGCCTGGGGGAACTTTCCACCGCTGTAACTGACGCAGGACTTTCTTCGCTTGTCATGGCAGCTGGGGTAACTTTCCACCGCTGTATCTGACGCAGAACTTTCTTCGCTTGTCATTACATGCTGGGGTAAATTTCGACTGCTGAAACTGGCGCAGGACTTTCTTCGTGTTCAAAGTCCAAGTCCCGAGCGGCACCTGAAGCGGCTTAGCCGGACAGTCATCGCTGCCAGCATCACCCGAGGCCGCGCTCTACACCAAACCAACAAACTACAGGAGGGGTTCACTCACCTGAAACAAACTACAGGAGGGGTTCACTCACCTGAAAACCATCCTATTACCCGGGCAGTCTATTTGCTGCGACGCTCCTCAATGTCATCCCAGGTGTGTGCCGAAGCGAATCAACCAAGGATGCGGGCTCACCATCACGGACGTAGCGAAACAAGGTTCTGAGGTGCGACTTGCCCTTCGGGGTGCCCTTGAGAGGAGGCATGTCTTTGGCCTAGACAAAGCGGTCGAGGAAGAGGTACTGCTGGAAGGGGCAGAGCGCTTTCCCTTCCTCGTCTTTTTCTTCTCCGTCTTCCGCCATCCGCGACTCGTGCGGGGTGGACCCTCTCTTCCCATCACGTCGCCGGCCATGGGAAGAGGGTTCACCTCGGGCAGCGCCATCTGGGCGTACAACTTGGCGGTGATCGGATGGGCGTCGCTTCTGCTCGCCGTAGCCCCTTGGCCTCCATGCCGGCCGACGGCCAAAGCCCCCGCCACCATCAGCCACATACGAAGCCAGCCGACCATTTGGGTACGGATGCGGGGGAAGAATCCCTTCAACCCTTCCCAGGGTGAGAAAGATTGGTCGACTCAATCGGCCAAGCGGCAAAGCAATGGAAGGTTGCAATACTTGTCAGGCTTGCGACGCTGGCGGTGCTCTCGCCAAGCGATGGTCTGCAGAGCCGGGCAGCCTGCCTTGAAGCCTTGTGAACAGCCTGTGAACAGCCCAAGGGGCGCTACCTGGCACTTCCTGCTTGCTAAGATGTCGCTGCGCCCTGTTCGCTGCACGGGCACTTTCCAATTGCACTCAACCCTGGTTGTGCCAATGCCAGCAATCGCTGCGAACATTGCCTGCAGCTTGAGGTAGACTGGGCCAAAGGAAATCCCGCGCACGGGATGCACAGTTCTGCTTGTCCGCAAACGTGCACTGCTTCCCCACGCAGATCCGAAAGCGTTCGAGGACATGGTTTCGCAGAAACTCAATGCTAACTCTACTGTTATGCCTTGCAGGCATCATTTTCATCAAACCACGCTGGCATGGTCACGAGCGTGCGCGTGATCAATTCCTTTGCACAAGCAAGGTTCCATCCAACTTTGGCAACAAGTAGCCTGGTCGATTCAAAGGTCTGAGACCAAATTGACCAATGGACCGGTCACCAACCCAATCGCCGCCAAAGTGTTCGGGGCTTTAATGAGCGACATGTTATTGGCAACGTTTCCGTTGACCTAGGCGTTCGCCTGAACTGGGGTTGTGCCAGGTGTCGTGCGCTGCTGCGCATGTTGAAATGGTGACTTCAATCAGCGCTTTAGGTTCCATTCGTGCATGCCGCCATTTGAAGTGCAGAGGCGGTAGTTTGTCAGCAGTAGCAACAGTCACGGACATTTGACGCATACGACAGAAATTTACAGAGCCACAGAGTGCATCGCAAATCCGTCCTTCGCAAGGCAGGATGAAGTAGTGGCCCCAGCGCAATGTTTGAAGCTGAGGTCCTGCCCAGCATGCCAGCGGTCTTCTTCTCAGTCCCACATGATGCACACGTTGGCACACATGTGCCTTTGGCCGTCGTGTTGCATCCTGCTGCCTTTAGCCGCCGCGCAGCAAACCGCCATGTTTCCAGGAAGGCGAGGCATCGCGCACGCAGAGTGCCTTGGATTCAAACGAGTGCGCCTGTCAATCAGAAACAATGACAATTTTTGTGATCAAGGCGTGCAGGAAACAGTTCAAGGGGCCATGTCCGTAATGCAGGCTGGGAGCTGCACTTGACGCATCGCATGTGCGGAAAGTTGAGGACAACATGCGGGCCATGGCGGAGCGAGACTCGCAGCTGAACCACTTGGAGGCCTCCACCGCGTGTAAAGTCCGTGTGAAGCGAAAGAAGCCCTGTGCGACGGCCCTGTGCGAAAAGGGGGGGGGGGGTTTGGGCGTTTGGGGGGCGTCTCTGTGCCTCTCTGCGCTCTCTCGGCACCGTCTCGGCACCGTCTCGGCAGGCGCGGACCAACGACCTGCAAGGCGCGTCGAAGGCCTTCAGCTCCGGTGCCAAGTGCCGAAGCGGCAGTCGAGAAGCGCAAGCCGAGAAGTTACTGAAGTCGAAGCCGAAAAGAGAAATTCGAAAACGAGGTGAAGGTCGATTTGGAAGGACACCGAAAGAGACATGAAAAGAATTGAAGGAAGCAAATTCAGTCGAGAATGAAAGGATACATCGGAATGAAATGATTGTTCCAAGCGAGGGGTGACAATTCGGCAAGTGAAGTTCCAAGTGGAAGCCTTCGGGGTTCTGCCAGCCGGTTCACGAAACCTTGAAATCCGTGAATTCCTCTCAAGTCAAATTCTGCCAAGCCCAGGCGCTTGCAGAGGCACTACCAGTGGCAGAGGTCGGCGATTGGAGTCTTTGCAATCATTTCTTTTCGTCTCTTCGTCTCTTCCTTCTTCACGCATACGCACGTGCGTGAGGTACAAGCTCTTCATCGTGATTGGCGGATCTGTACTTTGGGCCGCAGCCTAATGCCTTGTGCCAGGGAAGAACTGGAAGAACATGCGCAAGTCCTTTTCCCAGGCTGTGGCATTGGTCCTTATGCCCAGGCAGTATTTCTGGTCGGCGGCCTAAGCGAGAGAGAGATCTGAGAGCTGTTAGAGCTGTGAGAGCTCTGAGAGCTCTGAGCCCCAGGCAGTTCATGATCATCACAGCTGTGATTGTTGGCGTGGCCGCGGTGATCAATGCCTGTCGCCAAGTGCGAGATGCAAAGACCAGGTGCGAGATGCACATCAGAATGCCAGGCGCTGTTGAACCGCCGTGAGCAACTGAAAGAAGAAGCTGCGCCACCATCAGCAGAGCCTGTGCCTCGTGCCTTGTGCCTTCACGGCTGGGCTTCCATGAATCGCCAAGGCTTGGTGAATCACTGACGCGAGATGGCATGGAATAATTCGCACAGACCATGGCACGTCACTTGCACCGAGACGAAAAGGAACTTGAATATGAGCGACTCGGGTATATGTGGATGCGTTCGCGTGGATGTCCGATTTTCCAGCTTTCCATGTTCGACCATACTCCATCATTGCACCATCTACCATCCATGGAGCAAAGGTCAAGCTAAATCCAATGCGCTCCGAACCTAGCGGCTTTGCCTGGGTGAAACCATGCTGGGATTGCAAAAGCAGCGCTGACAGGAGTCTTTTCGGAAATCCTACATGCTAGTTTTCAGAGTACTCTCACCTGTGTTGGCCGCCCCTTTGAATCAGATGTCTCGCTCGAAGTGAAACTCCACGGGGCATGTTTCAGCTCTCAAGGCATCAAGGCTGCGAGCTAAGGCTTCAAGACTCAGGTTGCTCAGGTCGCTCAGGTCGCTCAGGTCGCTCAGGTCGCTCAGGTCGCTCAGGTCGCTCAGGTCGCTCAGGTCGCTCAGGTCGCTCAGGTCGCTCAGGTCGCTCAGGTCGCTCAGGTCGCTCAGGTCGCTCAGGTCGCTCAGGTCGCTCAGGTCGCTCCGGGCCCATGCTAAGCTTGACCCGTTGCGCCGTGTGTGCCGTGCCGCATCCCATTGTGAGAGCTCCGGAAAACCTCAGCCGTGCGGCTGCGGGTGTCAAGAACTCGTAGAACATGGAGAAGAAGGCCAGAAGGTGTTGCGTGGACCCTGTTCGATTTTTTTGAAGGTAAGCAGCAAACATGGCAGTCGGAGCCAAAGTATTCATGAGCACAATCGCATGCTACTGCCTGCGATGCCAAGCATGGAAAGAGGTTACAACCATTTGAATGCCCCCATTGTATAAGAACGAATACGCCTTTGACATGATGAAGCCAATCAGCAAGCTAGGAAGAACTTCAATCGTTTTCATTGCACTGCCCACGTTGCCCAATGCTTATGGGGCACCGGGCTATGTTTTGTTCAGCTATCTCTTTGCAGGAAAAGAATGTGTGCCACCAGATGGAGATCTGGAAGCAGTTGATTGACACTGAATTGAAGTACGCACCACAGCTCTCGACTCGAGAATTCGGCTCAAGTTGCTTGGTGCGCTAAGGACAGCTGCGAGTTGGGAGTGCCAGTGGGGGTTCTTGAAGGGAGCCGCCAACTCAGTTGCGGCATTGCGGCCTTGTTCTTTGAAGTTCTTTGAAGTTCTTTGAAGTTCTTTGAAGTTCTTTGAAGTTCTTTGTCTTTAGGAGCAGAAGATGCAGGCGACAAGTCGACACGTCCGGGACGAGGGAGTTGCGCAATTGCAGTTCAGTGTGTCGCAAGGGCTCGGCTTCCGCGCCAATGCTCAAGGCATGGCCATGCAGAGTGAGTCGAGTGTCAGACTGACAAAGCAGGACTTGCGCGCCTCGGCGTGTTCCGGGCCAGTTCCATCCCTCGCTTTTTGGCCGCTTTCCACCAAGGAGCTGGCAAGATGGATCGGACGCAGGTGGGCTATGGCTATGGTGGGCTGGTGCCGGTTTTGATCCCCGTTTCCGAGATTCCGTCAGGCGCTCACGTGGCGGACCAAAACGCCTCAGCAGCGCTACGGTGGCCCACGGAGCTGTCCAAATGATCTCTGAGCTGTTCGCTCTCAGGCCGGCCTCTTGCCACATCGCATGAAATCGGCTGGCGTCCGTCCATCGAGCGATTTGGGGTCAGTCTGGAGCTGAGCGAACACATCCTGTGGGATGCACGTCACGTAACTCCAGGTCATCACGGCATCAAACGAGACCCCGGCATTTGGCCGGACATTTGAGGCCTTAGCTTCAGTTTCACCGTGGCCCCAAAAGGGGATGCGAAATTGAAGCAAGTTGGAACAAGCTGCTCAGATCTTTTGGGTCACGGAATTGGCAGTTTCGACTCGAGACTTGCAGCTCGTATCGAGCTCAAAGCGGCGACGCAATGGCGGGAATGCAGATGGCCGCCATCTCAGTGTTTGGAGCAACCCCCCCAACTAATGGCACTCCACAGCCTAAAAGAAGCGGTTTTCCCTTTGCTGTCCTATTGGCCAGAGAGAGGTCCGGAGAGGACAGGTGAGGAGCGGATTAGGGGGGCTGCCAAGGCGACCCTCCCAAGACCATATTTTCTAGTCGACCTTGAGGAGGTCATTAGTTAGTCATTAATCATTGCATGTTTGCATGTTTGCATGTTTGCATGTTGTGGCTCAGAGAGTTTTCGCTTGACTTCCAGGGCCCGCCGCAGTTCATGCAGGCGATGGGAATGTTTGTGCGTCGTGTGTTTCCGCATTTGCCAGGGGAACTTCAGGCCGTTGCCAGGCCATTCGGTAGCACTCACTTTCAGTCTTTCGCACTTGCAAGACTTGACTGGCTCGCAGGCGGTTTGCTGGGCCTGGCGCGGCCACTGGGCCCGGGCCCCCCGGGCCCCCCAGGCCCGCCAGGCCCAGGCCCGCCAGGGGTGCCAGTGCCGGGGGTGCCGGGGCTGGGCCCCCCTGGCCCCCCTGGCCCGCCTGGCCCGCTTGGCCCCGGCCCGCCTGGCCCGCCTGGCCCGTTCAGCCGGACACTCGAGAGAAATTCACAATTGCAAAGGTTTCCAATACCTGGCAAGCGATTCTTGGCACGTGGCCCTTAGGCCATCGACCGCGTGGGAGCCTGGAGGTTGAGAAAGCCAAAGACCTGACTTGTTGGCGGACAGATTGTGCTTTTGAAAGGCTTAGAGGCCTTTTGTAGTTTAACAGATCAGGAGACGCTTTCCCATGTTCGTGGTTGATGCAGGTTGTTGAGTAACTGAGCTGATCGTGACTGGTTCAATGCAAATTGCGGTCTTCCGCTTCGTAAATGGAAATGAGCACTTCAGAGCTCTGTGCTTGACGTTTCGGGCATGCAAACTTCTAGCTGCCAACAAGTCCTTCATGTCATCTGGCCTGAGGCCTGCGCCCAATGCTGGGCGACCAAAAGCGCATCAGAAATCCGTGTTAGTCCCGCGATTCTGAGGCGAGCTTCCTGGGCCTGTCACAGGACGTGCTTCTATACTGGATGTTCATAGTCATGCACAACAATTCAATATTATATATATATATATATAGTTATTGTATTAGATTAATATATTAGATCATATCATATTTTTCTATCGTGTAGTTTTTCTTGGCTCTTGTCGAGTTTCAGGAGCGACCCGTGGAACAACAGCGCTCAGACTTGAGCAAAGTCTGTGCCCGAGAGACTTCTTTCGGAGCTCGAGGCTTGTCCGCCAAGGCGGAGCAGGTCACGAAGCAGCACGCCTTGGAGGGCAAGGCTTATGTAGGCATTGCATCGCTTTCAAATTGGCATTTACATTGTTTTGCAGGATCTCTTATTGCAATGGCAGTTTGCACAGCCCAGTTCTTATTATGCGTCACGTGGCTTACAGGGTTCAGATAGGATGCCCACATGCGGGGCGTGACTTGACGCCATGCAGCGTTCAGGCCAGAGAGAATGAGAGAACACCACTGATTGAGCAAAAGAAGTTGAATTGAACGTTCAAGAGATAGATTCATGTAAGCCCCAGGAAGCGACCTCGCTGCGGTGCGCCATGCTGCCAGTGAGGCAATGCGGCAAGTTGCTGCTCTCGAAACGGAAAGAGCTCCCAGGCTTCCGCGAGCCAGCCGTCCCGTTCTTCGAGTGTCCGCCCCCTGACTTTGAGTCCTTGAGCCACATCGGCCCTCAGTGACTCAGGACGTTAGCTTGAGACGAAAGCGTCGTTCACGCGCGCCTTGCGCTGAGTCGACGAGACTTAGTAAATTTAGTAAATGTAACATATTAAACACTCGATGTAACAGCGGTCGTGTCTCCGAAGGCGCGAACCAGGCCTGACGTTGGAGCAGCAGCAGAAGGCTGTGCAGGTTCCGCCGTTGCTGGCTTTCACTTTTTCGCATCGGTTCCGCATCGGTTGCCAATTGCCAGGATGCAGCCTTTGACCGCTACATCGCTGGTTTGCGACAGGATGCGCAGAAGGCTCCGAGTTTCCTTCGAGTCTACTTGTAAAGATCGACTCGACTTGTCTCGGAGGTGGTCTCAGCTGCCAAGATGTGGCAGGATACTGTGAAGGGCGGCATGGACGACGAGCGGCGCTTAGGAAAAGCGTAGCTGTCATCTGAAGCCAAAGTGACATGCACAAGGAGCAGATGGAAAAAAGCGAGAAGCGCAGCCTTTGCCAGAAATACCAAGCGCAGGCGTTGAATGGCTGCACCATATGTATGATTTGTGCATTTGAGCGAGGTGTTGGCACAGATCGAGAACAACAAGGCACGCTCACAGCCTGGGCGACCAAAGTTCTTCGAAATCGACTCGAGGCTCGAAGAGCAGAGGCCCGGCGTGAGTTCATCGAGGCACGGACGGGACACTTCACTCGGTCCGTATCTTGCTCGCCTTTCGCCTCGCGTTCGCGTCGCCTTCGCGTCAAGGCGGCCTCCTCGCATTCCTTCCCGCTCTTCACAGAGACCTTCATCTCCCTCCCAGAAGTCGAAGAGTGCCCGAGAGCATAGGGACATCGTCGGCGCATCTTGCGCTGAGGTACGAAAGACAGAGGAAGGAGCATTGGCGGAAAGAGCTTGACCAGCAAATGGCCGGGAGCCATGGCCAGAGCTGAGCTGGCTGAGCTCAAGCGGGTTTGAGTCTGAGGCCACCAACCAGATTCTTCACAACTTGGAGCTGAAAAAGCATCATGTGTACCCCTCGGTGTTACTTCGGTAAGCCCAAGCAATGCGAAATGTGACTGAGGATATGGCCATTGCTTCGTACAAGCAGAACGTGAAGAGCACGTGGGCGGCCCATGGAGAGGGACTTCAGCATTGCAGCACACACCAAGGACAAAAGCACGACGTGATGAGCGGGATAGATTGGCTTCCCAAGGACTGAATGCGATGCATGGGACGTCTTTGGCAATGCTTTCCGCTTTTCTGATGGATTCGCATGGATTCGCATCAGATTTGCGGCAAACAAGAAGCCCATATGGAGCCATTTCAAGAATGTTCAAGAGTTTTAGCAAGGCTTCGAAAGGAACCGAGGGAGGACCCCAGTTAAGCATTTTGCAGGAAGGGAGCTCGCCTGGACCCAAGGGGCCTTCTGTTTGCATCCACACTGGTTTGTCACGTTGCTAAGCTGCTGAGCTAAGCCGTGTTCTTCGTTGTTCACTGAAGAACTTAGGTGGCGTCCTGGGAGCGAGACATCCGCATCAAGCAGCTGAAGCGCGCCATGGACGTGGGCAAGGCGCGCGTGCGACTCCGACACACGGATTGATGCCGTCCGCGGCCTGCAATGCACCAAAAGCACCAAATGCACCAAATGCACCAAATGCACCAAATGCACCAAATGCACTTAGGACGTCGTCAAGGACATTGATGTTCTGTGATCCGCCGAATGGCGGAGCGGTTTCACCGGCACTGCATCAGCCCAAAATAAGAGCTTAAGCTTGGCAAACGAGGCAAAAGGCGCGAAAGGGGCGAAAGGGGCAAGACCATGTGGCTGACTTCGGAGACGCAGCGACGCGCTAGGCGTGATGGCACGCCTCATCGCTTCAGGCATCGGGGCCATCCAGGCCGGTAAACGGGACAAACGGGACAAACGGGAACGGGACAGAGCCAGAGAGAGGGAGACGAGGGAGAGACAGAGCTGTCGCCCAGTGCGCAGAGATGCCAACCAACGCTCGGAACCCAGGCTCATGGTATGACTACGTATGCCTTGCGGACCAAGGTTCAAATTCTGAAAGATCAGCTTGGGAATCTCCGGGTGGGGTGTCGCAATGTGTCAGACGCGCTTGCGTGGGAGCTGGGGACTGCGCAGATCGGGGACTCTGTTGTCTTCAAGGTGACGCAAAATCAGCTTGGCATTCCTCAGGCAAGATGACTCAGATTGATTCGCGACAATCCCTCGTTCAGGTGTCCTTCGCCCGCAAACTGGAGGTGGGGTTTTGGGTTTGGGAGTCGAGGAGTCGAGCTGAGTCAGAGTTAGGCTCTCACACAAGAACGGCATCGGATCATGGAGGCGAATGGAGAGATAGGGGGAGGAATCGGGAGGGACCAGGAATCGGGAACGTCCCGAGTCTCGTTGGGGGAAGCGCGCACGGCAAGGTCGACGCGCCTCTGCCTCGCCCCGGACACGAGTCGGACGAGTGCGCCGAACGCGTCGCTTCGGGTCCCTTTCGGGTCCTTTCGATGGATCTCGGATCGGATTCGGTTCGTTCGTTTTGAAAAATTCGAGAATTCGAATCCGATCTCCGAATTCGATTTGAAACCCGAATTCTCGGTCGGTTGTCGGCTTGCCCTTCGAGGCACCTGGGCATTGTGAGCAGCTTCCAACCGGCTCGGCCCTCGGCCGCAGGGTTCTTAGTCCGGACTTTTTGGGTCCGGAGGCCGTAGTTACGTAGTTCTAATTCGCGCATGCGAACTTTCACGAGTCGTTTCTTTTCGGCATGCGCTTTTTCCGCAACACGAGTCGAAATGTCCCATGTCAGCCTCTGCCTGACACACTGAACACACACAAAGCTGTGCTCATGTTTGCGCGTCGCACGCAAGGTTGGCCGGTATACCAATTCATTAGCGCTTGCGCAATGCACTGGGAACGCGTGCGCAGCAGAACATTGCAGAAAAGTTGACATGTGCCATGCAATTCCATGAGCTTTTGAAAGCATTGAATTCACGGTGCCCACTTGGTGTAAAGGAGTTCTTGAGCGAACGCTGTGAGGCACACGAAACACTGGAAGCACAATGAAACAATCATGGCGCATCGTCACATTCCGCATGCCGCAATTTCGATTGCCCTGCGCTGAGGAGACGGGCTATGGCTTCCTGAGCTGCGCTCAGACCCGGCAAGTCTATGGTCAAGATGCACCGCCCTTACTCTTTGTATCTTTTTGTATCAATTGTATCTCTTCTCATCTTACTCTCTTCTTTTTCTCTCTTTCTCTCTCGCTTGTTCTTTCAGGTGTACATTCACTGCGACCAGTTTTTCGACTTGAACGTCGGCGACGCGGTGAACTTTAGGGCCGGGATTTCGGAGATGCCACCGTGTCATTTGCGTCGTTTGCGCTGCGTCGCACGCGCTGCTCTCTGTGGCCATTTTGCAGGTGGCGGTGAACGCCAAGAATCAGCCTGTGGCGCGACGAGTTCGGAAGGTCGGACACTGCATATCATTGCATATTTGGATATTTGATAATCTTGACAGTCATCAGGCTGGCGACAAGGCAAGCGCTCAGAAGCGCAAGCCGTCGCACGTTGCCTTGCGCAGACGCTCGCATGCACAGGCTGAGGGTAGACCCCGGTCCGGGTCAGTATCCATCTCGGGATCTCGGAGGAGGAGGGGCAAGTCTCTGTTTTGCTAAAATGGAATGAACTGTTTCACTGAATTCACCTGACCGTCGGCTTGATGTTGAAACATGTCCTAAGACCTTGAGCTGTGTTCCACCCTATACATCGATGTTCCTAGTCGGTCAAACTGCCCAGGGCAAACATGTTGTGCGTTCAGCTTGATGCTCGTGCCCATGTGTCTACATGTCCAGTGAGTCGGACTGCTGCTGTGCTGCATCAGCAGATATGTTTGTGGATGTAGGTGCTGTACTGCTTGGGACGTGCCACAACCCAGTTGATGCGCTCAGGATGTCCGCGAAGCCTTTCTGTGTCCTTGATCGGTCGTGCTGCCACTGCACCGCTCTGCTTGGTTGAGTGCAATCTTGTACTCATCGGGCATGTTGAGAGTCAACCCGATGTACACTGCCAGTGCAGCTGTGTAGCTCGGCCTCAGGAACTTGTTCAAGCTCAATGGTCACAAGCCTGCTGTAGCTCCACGTCCCTGATCCCACGTGAGCCGCTCTACAGGTCGCGCGCGTTCATGTTGCTGAGTGCGTCAACACATGCCGTGATTCCAGCTGATGTAAGCCAGTATGTGACGACTTGTGCACAAGTGTACTCGTGGTGGCTGGTGTTCCAAGCTGTTGCTCTGCCTCACGCTGTTGCCCATGTACTGGCTGCGTTAGCATGCACACCGTTTGCGGCTACTCCCGGAGCACTCCTGGTGTCTGAGGCTGTGATTTTCCATGGACTGCGACTTGCTCTCCAGTACCTGAGAGATTCCAAGTCCCAGGTGTCAGCATCGCCGCGATGTGCCAAGCGGTCCTGTTGCGCACAAACTTTGGCTGCGATCAAAGCATCGTTTGACATGTGCCACCTTGTCATGCAGTACTCCCAAGACGCAAGCTATCCCATGGCACCGTTCGCCTAAGACCTAAGAAAAGCTGAACGTTATGCAGCGCACGGTAAGGGGCAAAGCGATCCGTCCAACTGATGTTTAACGTATTGCACAAACTGGCGCAGTTCAAGCTCTGTGAAACTAGGTTGTGTTGGCCTCACAGGCCAGCAGTGACACGCTTGCTGAGAACATGAGTGGTGACAAGCTTGGTCAGTATGTCGGCAGGGTTGTCCTCTGAGCGTGTGTTCTGCATTGCTTTGATGTACCTTCTCTCATTGAGATTGACTTTGCTGCACTGTCTGTCTGTGTGTGTCCACGTTGTGCGTCGCGACGGACTCTCCAGCCACGGACATGTTCTCCCTGGGGGGCTGGCGTTGTTAAGGACACGAGTCGTCGCGGATCTGAGCCTGGGATGCCCCGCTTAGGCCGTGTGGCGGAAGCAGTGCCCGGCTCACTCTTCACGCGCCCAGCACGAGCTCCTTGTCTTTGCGCCGCGATCGGCTTCGAAGGCAAGGTATGGCTAAGCCAAGGAGCTCGTGCTGGGCGCGTGAAGAGTGAGCCGGGGAGCGCCCGATGGCACTTCCGCCACCCGGCCTAAGCGGGGCATCCCAGGCTCAGATCAACTCGTGTCCGCCGAGAAGGGGTCTTTGGCTTTTCAGCAAGCCTTGACTACGGTGGCAGAAGCTCTTGACGGATTGTCGCTCTACAACCGGAGCGAGGAGACCTCCGGAGAACCCGAAAGAGGCGGTGTTTTGACGCAGCGGGCACTCATGGAGGCGGGCTACATCAACATCCCTTGGAAATTCAGCCACAACTGAGCGCGAAGCCGTGCCTAGTGAAACAAGCAATTCACTCCATCTTAAAGCTGTGTGAATATCTCACCATTTGTGTTGTAACAATAACCTTTGTGTTGTAACAACAACCCAGGACAGCCATCTTGGTCCAGGGTTAGTAAGAGGGAAAAGGCCAGCTGCCTCACCTTCATGGTCATGGTCTTGCCTGACGCACGGTGACAGCACGTTGTGAAGCTCTCTTCGCACTTGTGTTCCGTCGAGCTGTGGCTTGAGCACCCTTGTCAGGCACCAATGCTTCTTGTACGGAGCCCTTGAGGTGTACTTGTTGCCATGTTTTAAATCTGTTGCCTTGCGGTCTTTCTGCAAATTGCTGACGCTGGTCCATGGCGTGTGCTCACCAAGCTCTGGCGTAAGTTGTTGCTCAGTTCTTGAATCTGTAGTTGTGACTGTGATTGCTTTGCCTCTTTCAGCAGTGTGCTGTATGCTGTGAATCGTGGTGGCGCCATGTTGTGCTTGCGTATTCCTGGCAACTCTTGCTGAGGTTGCTGCTGTGGTTGCGCGCCGCCATTCCTGTCGTTGTCGTTGTCGTTGTCGTTGTCCTTGTCGTTGTCGTTGTTGTTGTTGTTGTTGTTGTTGTTGTTGTTGTTGTTGTTGTTGTTGTTGTTGTTGTTGTTGTTGTTGTTGTGGTGATTGTTGTTGTTCCTGCTGCTGCTGCTGCTGTTGTTGTTGTTGTGGTGGTGGTGGTGGTGGTGGTGGTGGTGTTGTCGTTGTCGTTGTCGTTGTCGTTGTCGTTGTCGTTGTCGTTGTCGTTGTCGTTGTCGTTGTCGTTGTCGTTGTCGTTGTCGTTGTCGTTGTCGTTGTCGTTGTTGTTGTTGTTGTTGTTGTTGTTGTTGTTGTTGTTGTTGTTGTTGTTGTTGTTGTTGTTGTTGTTGTTGTTGTTGTTGTTGTTGTTGTTGTTGTTGTTGTTGTTGTTGTTGTTGTTGTTGTTGTTGTTTTTGTTGTTAGTTGTTGGTTTGGTTGTTGTTGTTGTTGTTGTTGTTGTTGTTGTTGTTGTTGTTGTTGTTGTTGTTGTTGTTGTTGTTGTTGTTGTTGTTGTTGTTGTTGTTGGTTGTTGTTGTTGTTGTTGTTGTTGTTGTTGTTGTTGTTGTTGTTGTTGTTGTTGTTGTTGTTGTTGTTGTTGTTGTTGTTGTTGTTGTTGTTGTTGTTGTTGTTGTTGTTGTTGTTGTTGTTGTTGTTGTTGTTGTTGTTGTTGTTGTTGTTGTTGTTGTTGTTGTTGTTGTTGTTGTTGTTGTTGTTGTTGTTGTTGTTGTTGTTGTTGTTGTTGTTGTTGTTGTTGTTGTTGTTGTTGTTGTTGTTGTTGTTGTTGTTGTTGTTGTTGTTGTTGTTGTTGTTGTTGTTGTTGTTGTTGTTGTTGTTGTTGTTGTTGTTGTTGTTGTTGTTGTTGTTGTTGTTGTTGTTGTTGTTGTTGTTGTTGTTGTTGTTGTTGCTGTTGTTGTTGTTGTTGTTGTTGTTGTTGTTGTTGTTGTTGTTGTTGTTGTTGTTGTTGTTGTTGTTGTTGTTGTTGTTGTTGTTGTTGTGCGTGGACAGGCCGCCAAAGCTTTCCCAAGTGTGTGACAGGTTTCTTCCGCTACCATGTCGAAGTGAAACGTACTGTGTGTGAACTACTTGCTTGAAGTGTGGAACATGTGGGTGGAGTGAAGACGCTGTTGTTTTCCTGTAATTTATATACGGTGTTTCTTCTGTTCTATTGAATGCCATGGTTTCAGGAGCCGAAGCCGAGAGCGTCGCCGGGACCGAAGGCCAAGTGCAAATTCGGAGCCGGAGCCAACCGTTTTTGAGTTGGTTCGAAGTCGGAGGCGGTCAACGAGCCGAAGGCACGCAGCGTGCCTCTCGCATCTCGCGCTTCGGGTTGGGAACTCCAGGAGATGACCTCTCTATGAGGCGCACATTGCGCAGCTTCCAAAATAGGCGGAGTTTGTTGGCGCTCGGAAGAGACCGCGCGCGCAGAATCATATTGTGAGATTGTTATACTCTCCTGGCCCAAGCCTGAAGCGTGACAACATGCATGAAGTGTTGCGGTTTTCCTGTGCGTCAAGTTGCACTGCTACCTGTTGTGCAAGTGCACTGTGATGGTGGGAATCAATCAAGCAAATATTGGCGCTGGAAAGCAGCGCAAGCCACACAAGTCGCGTAAGTGACGCAAGCGACGCGCAAACGAACATGCCCTGAATGCCCTGCCTGGCAGCCTAGCAAGGCAGGAGGCTCGAGCCTTGTGTACAATCCGAAAACCCGAGCCCAGGCAGACTTCATGCAACAGATTCCGCAGGCATGCGGCGCCAGCCTGTTGATGCTTGCGTGAGCATCGACCCAAGGCATGGAGCAGCCCTGAAAGTGAAAGCCTCAATCGTGAAACTCAACACGCTGCATGTTCTCCACTCAGCCCAGGACATGCGTTCTCCACTGCGCACGGCCCAATCCCTTGATTTCAACATTGGGAGCGAGCGAACTGCGAACTGCAGGTGGCTCGAGGCTTGGGCCGCATGGTTGCATCGATGTTGCGTCTCACGCAAAGAGCTCAGGCCGTGGCAAGCGCGGCCCCTGGACCTGCAATGCACGAGAAATGTGGCGCAAAGCTAGAAACAACAATAGGTGCTTTCGCCTTTTTCTACTTGTTTGACACATCCTCTACGCTCCTTGCAAGACCAAAGCTGCGAACCTTGAGGGAGCACACAACCGGGAAACAGCTTGAGCTCAGCAGACGCAGCCCGATGTCAGGTCACAGAGTCCATAGCTGAGCTGCAAAGCGTTGCAAGCCGCGGCGCTTGTCGCGCCCGAGGGTGTCGCGTCAAGTGTCAGCCCCACAGGCGCGGGTTGGGGCGGGTCGGGCCACGAAGCGTCCACGCGCGGAGGCTTGGGCCGGCTTGGGGCAGGCCATTGTGGCAAGGTCCGCATTTCTGTGAAAGCCACCAGCGCAGGCTCGAAGCTGTGCTTTCTGTGGCAACATCTACGCGGACGACTCCCACTTCTGCCGAAAATGCGGGAAACCACGTTCCCAGGCAGTCATTCGACCGGGTGCGACATACGAACTGAGTCCATGTGCCCTGCAGGCTCAGCCAGGCGGGCCCGAGCGAGCGGAGCACCCCGTCAGTTGGACGGAAGCCTGCGAGGCTTTCTGACGAGCCAGTGTCAAGTTGCCCGAGCAAAGTATTTGGAGCGATCAGCGTAGCGAATTCTTTTGACTCAGGCGACTGCGCAGTGCTCTCGGGTGTGGATGACGTGGAGTGAGGTGTGCAATGTGTTACAGCCCCAGGCACCATGGGCAGACGCATCACACTGCCGGGCAGGCCTTTCGAAAATGCAATGTGCTGCCACGTACTGGCGTGTACTGCCGTATGGTGCCACAGAGGCGCAGATTGAACATGGTTTTGAAAGGCCTTTGCCTATGCCATGCAGCCAGCCGCCATGCCGCAGGCTGGGGGGCAAGGCGGCCGCATGGGCAAGCCGGAATTGTCAGAGACTGCAAAGGCTTGAATCTTGATTTGCGCCATTGGCTGTTGATTGCAAACATCACTTTATTGGTTCAGCAGCATTTCCCAGGCAACTCAGCGCGAACCGCATCGCAAGTCCAAACCTGTCAAAGGGTCACTATCTTTTGAACATCACACCCCAGAATGTCAAGGACGACCTGGCATTGCGCATCAACAACTCTGCTGACGTAGTTCAGGGTCGAACCGCATTGTCCGCGTTTTAAAATTCCTTGCCTCTGTTTTGCGCCATGCCGAGAGTGGTGTGTTTCGCGCATGAAGAGTTGAACTGTTCCTAACATGTGATCTTTGCCCAGTGTGTGCAGTGTGTAGAGAGGTGCTGGCACTTTGTAGGTACTTTGGTAGAGGCGTGTGATGCCATGTTGGCGAAATATGGTTGCAGGCTGCACGCGGTGTCAGAGAGTTCGCAGTTCTGCTACGGCAAGCTGCTGGTATGTTCCTCGTGGTTTTGCTCAGCGATGTTCATTTGCTTGAAAGTAAAAGGTGATTCAGGGTTTCAGATGTCAGGCTCAGGGTTCCGGATATCAACCGAGGGGTTTGTGTTTTTCATGGTCATTCCCAGCTGCCGGCCAAGTGCAACGGCTGGGTATGGAGGTGCGAGAAGTCGTGGAGGTCACTGGGCCATCATCTTCTTTTCGTACTGAAGCTGCCGGCTTAGCTTGTCTTCTGTGGGCAGCGCTGCTTGTGAGGTTGGGTAAAAAAGGTAGCATTCCTTGCAGCAATGTACACGGTGGACCCTTGCGTCCAAAACTGCTCCGTTTCACAGCAAAGCGGCAAAGTCAATCAAAACCAACACCAATAACGGGAAGCAGCCTTGTCAACTGGGAAAATACAGGCAGACTCGATTTGAGTCATGAACAGCATCGCTTGTTGCATTTCCTTAGAGATGTTTTTTTTTGCCCGGTTGAAAGTTGCTAGTTTCGAGCTGGAACTGTCAAACTGTACCTAGTGTGCCACGCATGCCCTAGAAAGTTGCGATGTTTGAGTGCCAAAGTGTGCTTCGTGGATGGCGCGGGCGCTGAAAGATTGACAAAGGCGGCAAAGTGCACTTTGCTAACACGCTTGCCTTTGTTTTGAACAATGAGAACATTCAGGGCTGTCAGTTGTCCATTGGCCTCTCGCGTGTCGCGCGCACAAGCTCACGCGCGCACATACACACACACACACTCGCATGCGTGCACACATACCTGCGCGCAAGCAACACATACCTACACATACACCCACGCATACATGCATACATGCATGCATACATACATACATACATACATACATACATACATACATACATACATACATACATACACACATACACACATACATACATACATACATACATACATACATACATACATACATACATACATACATACACACATACATACATACATACATACATACATACATACATACATACATACATACACATACATACATACATACATACATACATACATACACATACACATATACATACATACATACATGCATGCATGCATGCATACATACACACACACAAACACACACGGCAAAGTTCAGCGTTGCTTGCTTGTACTCACCGCAGTAGTGGTTTTTCCATGAAGGACGACTTGGCAAGATGGCCGACAACTGGCCCAACAAGGGCAAGGGCTACAGGAAGCCTCGGAGGCTTTTTGCAAGGGGAGTTTTGCAAGTGCAAGCGCAAGTGCGACGGTAAGAAGCAAAAGCACCAAGGCATTCTTGCTCTCAAGGACATGGTCTGAGTATCTCGATGTGATCGTCGCCAAGAGCAGAACCCATTGGACGTGCTGGCCCCTCAACTTCCAGAAGCGTACTCGACTCTTGCATCGCTTGCGTCAAGCCCGATACGGCGTGCGCCGGGGCAAGGCTACAAACGCCCGCTGAATCTACGGCCAGCCAGACGCAAACACTGTGCAATCCAGCTTTACGACACCTCAACACCGCCATCTACACCAACTACTTGGTACACCGCCCGTAGTAGCCCGTGTAATATCGTGCGTTTTTGTGCTTCAGAGCAACCTGTCCAAGCTGCGATTATGAAGGAGCTACAGCAAAACAAGCCAGCTCAGCACACTAACAAAGAACCCCACACACCCAACAAAAACAGGAAATAATGAAGTTCTTGTCAAGCAAACCCGAAGAAGTGACGCAATCATCCTTTTGCCAGCCCCCCCCCAAAAAAAAATGGTAAAAGTAGGGGGCCTGGGGGGTGGTCTGTTGATGGTTGCCTGTTATGGTTTTTATGTTCATCTCAAATCTGTGTTCTCCCTTATTCGTTTTTAAAAGAGGGTTTTTAGGGAGCTTATTTATCGTTTTCGTTAAAGTAATCATTTGGGTAAATTGTCGCCTTGTTCATTGTTGGGCTGGGGGCCGACATTTTTTTCATTTGAAAGAGGTAGCCCTTTTAGTAGTTATCAAGTTCTGGGGTGTTGGTGGTGCATTTGTTTTGATATATGTTTTGTCATTGAAATTTTGTTATAGGTTAAAATTACAGTATAATGAAAGGTTATAAAAGTTTACACTGTTTAATCATATTATAATTAAATATTATGATTAAGCAATGAAATCATTGTTTCTGTTATGTGAAAATTTCAAATGTAATATGTTCTATAGTAATGATTTCGTCTCGTTTCATAGTCTGTTTTATTTCTTCAACTATTTTTTCAATATAAAATTGTAATGACGCTCTACTTGTTATCTTGTTCTGTTCGCTTGATGCATAATAACTACAGTTGCAAATATTATTCCTATACATAATTTTCGAACTAATTTCTATTCCAACCTTTATTTCTTCATCATACTTCATCACTCTTAATAATTCTTTTGGTGGTTTCAACGCATATGAAAGTGCTTTATCACCTTTCAAACATATATTGCTAATCAACACATAATATCTACTTTCTCCTTCTCCTTCTCGTTCAAAAATAGACGGTTTCCATTTCCTTTGTAAGACCCTTAATGCTTTACACTGTTTTAGTCTTTGCCACCCTTCATTGCCATTCATATAAGAAGCGATGTTTAACAATGCTTCCATAGGTAAGCTAGCACAATTCTCAACCATAAAATTATTCTCTAACATTTTACCCTCACTCATTTTTCTCTTTATATATAAGGTTTTTTCTCTTTAAGTAGTTTTGGCTAGGGGTTGCTGGTCGGCTGGTCTGGGTTTCAGGTTTAATTTAAATGTCTTAACCTTCTTGTTAGATTATAAAACAATGTTTAATCATATTATAAGATAATAATATTAATAAACAAAAGTTAATTTGACCCATATTCAATCTCACCAGCGATACAACCACTATAACAACTCATACAATACTCGCAACAATAATGCTCGTATCCTTTTATTAATTGGTCTGTGTAAATTTCAATTAATTCGCTAAGAAT